GGGGGGGTGATCCCTGCTGCCCCTCCTAACCCTGCCCACTCTCCCAGCCACCCCCATAGCTGCCCCGCCCACCCCAGCCCTTAAAAAAAAAAAGCCCTGACTCACCAGCTGCTGCAGTGGCCTCGGGGCTTATGGGGGCTCGTGGCAGAGCCCTGCATGCAGCGCAGGGCAGTGGGGGGCAGAGGAGATCCCCCCCACTGCCTGGCAGAAACTGGTGAGTGATTCTACAGTGATTTTTCCAATGCCACAGCTTCTGCCTGAGGCTCTCAAAGACCATATAGATAGTACTGGACATAGTAGCTCCACAGGACAAATGGCTACCCTGCTCTACAGATGAGGAAACTGAGGCACAGACTTAGCAAGATAGCAGAGCTGAGAGCAAAACCCTGCTGTCTTGAATCCCTGTCCTGTTCTCTGAGAACAAAAGCCTCCTTCTTTCTGTCATAATTTTTTGTTTTTTTGCAAAAAGATTTAGATATATATATAAAGATCTATTTATATATGTGTGTGTGTGTGTACCTCCAACACTCTGCCAAGCGGCCCTTGTGGTTCACTTGACAGATCAAAGCAAATTTTGACAGTTAAGCGATTAAAACCCCTTTACATAGTTTGCACCACATATCTGCGCACCCATCTCCATACCTGTACCCCAACTCACTGCCTTCCTCACAGGCCCTGCCCCTGAAAAAGTTTATGCCAGACCCCTCTCCATCACATGAGGTCTGCCATTTCTTTCCCATTGTCCTCTTCTGTGTTCCTGTAGTACCAGTACATTTTACTTAATCCCATTTTAATACAGTCCTCAACTGTGGGGTCTGAGTGTCTGTTAATGAGCAGATTCCTGGCTTTCCACAGTGCATACCTGAAGCAGGATATGAACTGGTTAAAGCGAGCTGTCGGGGTCCCTTGCTGTCTGGTCAGGTGCCCATAGAAAACTGCTTCCCTGGTCAGGTCTCTGAAATCTGTCACCACCAAGAGGAGCGTACAGATTTTCTTCCACACCTCTCTGGCATATGGGCAGTCCCAGGAGAGGTGGTTGATCATTTCTACCTACCAGCAGCAGGTCTGTCTTGGGCAGTTTGATGGACTTCTCTGCCCTGTGCTGTTTCTCCATGCCCGTATAGGGAGTGCCTGGTGGGCTGCCTGCCAGTTCAGGACTCTGCAGGGCAGCTGCTGCAACAATGGCAGGTGCACACAATAACCAACGGGAGCCCATGGACCATGGTTTTCCCATGGTTTTACAAGATCCTGAAGTACTTTTGAGAGAAATACAAGCTGCATGATACTATCATAGTGACCCTGGTGAGCCACTACAAGATACAGGAGGTGGTAAGGGCAAGAGACACCATATCACCTGTCATAGGTGACACATAGTGAGGTATAGGGGGGGGCATGTGTCCCCCTGTCTCCGCCGCCTATGCCCCCCTACAGTGGTGTACCGATGTGGGGGTGGAGGGTAAGTCCCCTGGTGGCACTTCTGGTTTCACTGGTGGCACTTCCAGTTTTGCCACCAGTGTTTCTGGGCTCGGCGATCAGCTTCCTCTCTGCAATCGGCTGCCGGGGGGACACCCTGCTCAGTGATCAGGTGCCCCCCAGAATCAGGAGGCATCAATCGCCCACGTCACCCATAAGCTTACTACCTAGTGACAGCTGCCAGGCTGTGTGGGCTGCTAATCCCCACCTCTCTCTTCTGCCACCTCTCCCTATTCATTCTCTGTCTGTGTTGAACTCCTAAAACCATGCTTCCTGCTCCTAGGATGACTTAAGGATCCAGCTGATGAACATGAGCCATCAGCTGAATGAAATAGAGAGTGACCGGGACCGGACCAGTAGTCGCATCCTGCAACTGCAGAGGTTGCTAGCAGACTCAGAAGAAGGTCAGTCACTCTTCTCCTCTCTGCTCCCCATCAGTGCAGCAGTGGTGTTGTCTTGGGTAGTGGGAGTAGATTCCATCACTGCTAGTGACCAGGCTTAGATGAGCATCAACCACTGCTGAAAGAAGCTTCCCTCACTGGGCAGGACTGGTCTGGAGAGGTTTGAGTGTGTCACTGATTAGCAATGTCTGACAAACCCTGGGTTCATTGCAAGGATGCAGCCAAAGGTGCACCTTGGGTTTGTTTTAGGAGAGGGCTGGCAGCTTGGGGGAGTACCTGGTCTTATCTTGTGCTCTAAGGAGAGTGAATGCAACATCCTCTCAATCCACTACACTCAACCCTGTGACTCAAGGACTAGGGAAGGGAAGGGGGATCTGTCTTAGGGGTTGCTCACCCAGTCCTTGAAGGGATCCCCTGTCTGTGAGTGAATGAGCTTCCCTCCCAAAATCATTTTGGTATGGCCCAACTCTCTGACCATGAATCTTCTGAAGCACCTGGCAGAGCCAGTTCCTCAGCCTCCTGGCTCTTCTTTGTGATGCACAGGGAAGCGAGGCACTGACGAACGCCTGAGCAGCACGCAGACAGCCCTGATTCTGCAGGAAGAGACTGTCCGGAGGACAGAGAGGGAGAGCCAAGCCTTGGCAGAGCGGATAGCCACTTTAGAGTGCAGCTTGCATGCCTGTCAGGAAAAGAACAGGGAGCTTCAGGTAGGTGTGCCCCTGCCAGGAGAGGAAACATAAAGCACATGTTCAGAGTCATTCATGAAACAGGGAAAGGGGGTCTGGGAAAAATCCATGCTGGGAAAACACAGTCTGTGTGGCTGCTGGGTGTTAGACTGGGAGTCCAGAGCTTCTAATTCTAGCTCTCCTTCTGTCCTTGTAGTTACTGAGCAAGTCACTTTCCTTCTCAGAGCCTTTTTCACTCCAGCTCTTATCTACTCAGTCTTTCTGGGCCTGGGTGCCACTATATGCTTGTACAGCACCTAGGACCATGGGTCCCTTTCCTCTGGGGGGACTTGTAGGTGCTATTGGAATAACACTCACCCTTAGCTGAGCTGAGAATGGCTTTGGGGCTTGCAGATCCATTCCCCATTGGGAGAAGAAGTTGGTGGTGCAGGGTAAAGTATTTCCTGACTGGAACGTGCTTATTTACAAACCACACATGTATCCTGATTCCACAAAGGCACTAGCAGGCTACATGCAGCAGCTCCATCTGGAATGACCTCAGTTAAAGCTCCACTCTCTTGTCATCAAGAGACAACAGTCTTGGCCCTCTCTTGAACTGTGTGGGATCCTGACTAAGTAACACATTTCTTGTCCTGAACCCTGAGCTTTAACCATGACACCCTTTTTAGAGCCCAGATCCCATGGCCTTCAAAGGCAGGCTGGCCACTGCTTTTGTGCCACTGCTCTTCGTTACAGAAGAACCTCTGAAAAGTTGCACCACCCAATTCAAAAGAGGCATGAGTCATAAAAGCCCCTGGCCTGTTCCCTGCTTGGGGACACTGTGTGTTAATTATGGCCTCTGTGAGGAGTTTCTTCCTGAGTGCTCATCCATCAAGACTCAATGTGTGCATGATATTATCTATCCTCATAACTGCCATTTCTCTCCCGGATGCTGCCAGTGCCAGTGGACATAGTAAATGCCCAGGTAAATGGCTTCAATACCTCCAATGAGGCTCCTTGAAAGGAGTGCAAAGCACTGGTAGGGGCTGGAGGGAGGGCGTGCAGCATAGATGTGTGGGACAGGTGGCCCTTCAATGCCCCAGCTCAGATGAGAGCAGAGATGCTGAGTCCCATTTGCTGTATTCATCTATGGTGTTTGCATAGTGCCCTGTGATGGGAATGGCTGATCCTGGGCACAGTGTCCTCTGGCTTTCTCCTCAGTGTCTGCATCTACGTGAGATACTACATTGCCGTAGTGACAAACTATGGTAATGTAGCTTGTTGCAACGGCAATGTAGCGTCAGCAGGCACTAGCCATGACACCACCACTACCACGCAGTAGCTTGTTGCTACTACACAGTAGGGTCGAAAACGACCCATACGCTACCAGGACTGCACAGTACCGGCGGGTACTGCACAGTCACTAGTACCCTAAAGCAAGTACTAAATGACTGTGCAGTACCAAACAAGGCCTCACTGAACTCTTAGGTCTTGGTTGGTACTGGACTCAGTAGCGCCAGGATGTGTCTGGGGGCCCTGCCATCAGACCATTATGCGAAGACAGAAACTGTACAGCTGCCTTTTCTTGTAACTCTATGATGAGCACATCTGAAAGACAGCATTGAGGATGAGAGGGTACGATGGCAAAGCAGGCTGATATGAAGGGACAGTATGGCATGGACTGGTGTGAGACAGAGGAGGGAGTATGGCATGGGCAGCACATGGGTAAGGATTGGAGTCCAGGGTAGTGTGAGGTGGGCAAAGCAGTGCAGGATGGCATCTCAGAGGAGGGAGTACAGCAAAGGCAGACACATGAAGAGAGTGATGTACCATCAGCTGAAATAGGACAGAGGGGGCTGAAAGTAAACATCAGCGGGAAGTGCAGTATATGATAACATGAGAAAGGGGCTAGTGTGTGAGGTGGGGGGAGAGCAGTGTGGACTGGTGTGTGAGGTGGGGAGAGTGCTGTGTTCAGTGGTGTGGAACAGTGTGCGAGTTGGGGGAACACGGTCTGGGACAGTGTGAGGTGGGGAAGAGCAGTGTGGGCTGGTGTGTGAGTTGAGGGGAGCATAGTGTGGGTGGTGTGTGAGGGGGCAGTGCACTGTTGGCTGGTGTGTAAGGGGAAGGGAGTGTATGAGGTGGGGGGAACACAGTGGGCTGGTGTGTAAGGGGAAGGGAGTGCAGTGTGGGCTAGTGTATGAGGTGGGGTGAACGCAGTGTGGGACAGCACATGAGGTGGGGAGCTCAATGTGGGTTGGTGTGTGAGTTGGGGGAGCGTAGTGTGGGTGGTGTGTGAGGGGGCAGTGCACTGTTGGCTGGCGTGTAAGGGGAAGGGAGTGTATGAGGTGGGGGGAACACAGTGTGGGACAGCGCATGAGGTGGCGGGGGGGCTCTTGTGGGCTGGTGTCTGCAGTGGGGGGAACACAGTGCAGGCCAGAGTGTTAGGTGGGGAAAGCGCAGTGTGGGCTGGCATATGAGGTGGAGGGAGTGCTGTGTGGGCCTGTGCATGAGGTAGGGGAGTGCAGTGTGGGCTGGTGTGTGAGGTGGAGAGAGTGCGGTGTGGGCTGGTGCATGAGGGGAGCACATGGTATGGGCCATCTCAAAAGAGCGTGGCCCAGGTGGTGGCAAAGAGAGTGCATGAGTCACTGAAGTCTGCATCTTCACCCTCAGGAGAAAGCTTCTGAGCTGAAAGCCAAGGAGGCCAAGCTGGAGACAGACAAGTGGAAGCTGAAGAAGGTCCTAGAGGCTGCCGAGAACAGGGCCAGCAAACTGGAGCTGAGCCGTCACGCTGTGGAAGGGGAGCTACAGCGTGCCCAGCTCAGCCTGACAGACCGAGATACCGAGATCCAGTCCCTGCAGGAGCAGGTCCAGGTCCTTCGCTGCCAGCTGGGGGACAGTGAGAGCAAAGCAGCCCAGCTACAACGGGAGCTGGGTCGCCTGGACTTCTCGCGAGCCAGGACAGAGGACATGGAGAGCCACCTCAAGGACAAGGTGCAGAGCCTTTCCCAGGCCCTGACAGATGCCTCTGCGGGATCCTCAGCCCTTCAAGAGAATGTTTCTCAGCTGCAGAAGGCTCTGACAGCAGCAGAGCAGGACCGCCGGGTGCTTCAGGTCAGGGTCCCCACAGCACTGCCTAGCCAAGGGAGGTTAGGATGGTCAGTGGAGCTTTCTGGACTGAAAAGCTGCTACTATGGATTTTGCAACCTGCTGGTGCAGGCAAACAGGGAGAGCCAGCCGTGTTTAGAGTAAGGCCCAGGTTCCCCCATGTCACTGGAAATTTAAAAAAACGCAAAGCCTGACGTTTGGGTTTAAAAGCAGGCACCATCATGGTGGCCAGGCTGCCCCTCACAGTTCCTGTCCTGTAGATCAGGGACGGGCAATTATTTTGGGTGGAGGGCCGCTTACTGAGTTTTGGCAAGCCATCGAGGGCTACATGAAAGGCAGCCAGGGGCAGATAAATATTAATTTTCTAAATTTTTTAGGGGTTCCCTAGGGCCAGATGGAATGGCCTGGCGGGCTGCATCCGGCCCACGGGCCGCATTTTGCCCATCCCTGCTGTAGATTGACAGGTTATTAATGTAGCACCTTCCTCACATGTGCATTCATTTAAAAAAGATGACCAGTGGGAGGTGGAGATGAGGCTGGGTTTTGGCAGATGGGAGTGGAAGGAACAGTGACACTCACTGGGGAGGCAGATGCACACTCTAGAAGTACTGTATGTGCCCCCCTAACTTATTGTCCTGCCCCCACTGACTGAAAGGGAGTGTCCCTGAGTGCCCATGGGAAGGAACAAATCTAATACAAACTGATGGGAGCAACGGACAGGAAGGTGTAGCATCATGGTGTCCCTGCAGAAACATCCTTAAACACAGAAATCCATCCCAGTAAGCTGCAAACAGCAAGAGTCACTCTGACCGTTTGACAGTCTAAGTGAGCTCTGACCTGGGCCCATTCCATAGCTGGGGAGTGGCTGGCAATATAGCTGCACTGCTGGCTGCCAGGGATATGGAGAACAAATAGGGGGTTGTCTGTAGGGGCCTGAGGTCTCTGATCATTGCTGTGATTGTCATGTAGGGACAAGATAGATCATGTAGGGACTAGTCCCTAGATTGTCATGTAGGGACTGGATCCCTTCAGAGATAATGATGATAATAATAGTTTAAAAATTACCATTTTGGGGCCCTGTTTTTGTCCAGGCCATGGGTGGCTGCCCAGTTCAGCCATGCCTGTGTCCAGCCCTGTTCAGAAGCAAAGGTTGGTGGTGACTCACATCTTTGACTAACACTTCTTTGTGCAAGGGTGTGACTGAAGGTCACAATCATCCATGACATAAGCCTGAGCAAGGTCCCTACCTGTGTAGGCATGAGCTGTTTCTGGAAGGCTTGTCAGGACTGTCGCTGCACTGTTGAAGACGGGAGGTTCTTTTGGAATCTGAGGGCATTTATACACATACCTTTTCGTCCCATACCATTTATACACATACCTTTTCGATCTGGCGGGTTAGAGCAGACTCAGTTAATCGAGTCTGCTCTGCACATGAGCTGACGTGCACTGTGCTGTATCACATGCAGTTGTATAAGGGGCAAAATGCGCGTCAACACACAGAAAATGGTGGCAGTGTGCTTTTGAACTAAAACACCTCTGATGTGTTTTAGTTCAAAAGCACGTCGCTGCCATTTTCTCAGTGCTGATGCGCATTTTGCTGCTTTTAAAAGCACCTGGTGCTGCAGCACAAACGTGTACAAATGCTCTAGATTCCCAGGTAGTGAACTCTCCAGATGTTTCTGTAGTGTCCACAATTCACCCCTGTTCAAAAGGCCTTTGACATCTTTTATGGCTGCCTTTTGATATGTCACGTACACCCTCTACTGCATTGCAGAGATTAATAACTGACAGCTCGCAGGGCTGTAATGTGCTTCTCTCTGGTTAGAATGGAGCTACACCCACTTTAAGCAGGGGCATTACAATCGAGGATATGTGCAGTGATGAAGCTTTGTCCTGCTATGTCCAGTGGATAAGACTCACTCACAGGGGGAAGGGTCAGCCTATTACTATAAAGAATTCCATTGGGTTCCCTCTGTGCCATATACACAGAGCTTGTAGGATCACCACCAATGACACAGACTGTGCTTGGATGGCTGTATTCTGACCACGATTCCCTTCTCAGGAACGCTTGGACTCCATGCGGCAGGCCCTGGCAGACAGCAAAAGACAGAACCACAGCCTGACAGATACTGTGCACATGCTGCAGGACCAGCTGGGAGAGCTGGAACTGAGGTGCAGAGAGCTGGATGCCCAGGTCGAGCACCTCCAGGAGGTGAGTTGAGGGAGAGTGGCCTTCTGTTTAAGCTCTGAGTTTGAGTCTGTCACAGACTCCCTGCCAGATCTTGGATGAGCCACATAGTCCCACATCCATGGTAGTATTAAGCTACCTAGCTCCGTATTGAAATAAGTGAGAATTAGGAGCCAAAATATCTTTGTGGGTCTTGGCCTCAGTTCCCTTTGTGTAAGATGGAGATAATTAACTATGCTGCCACTGTCTATCTTGACTGTTTACGTGTGGGGCATATGTACAGCACCTAACACAAAAGTGAATGATTGAGGAAGGGCTGTCCTATAAAGAACACAGTATGGCTAGGTGCAGGAGAAGGGCAGAGAGAGAAACAGAGGGATAAACCACTGAATAAGCCTCTACAGTTGAAGTCAGGGATGGGGAAAGGAAATCATGGGGTGAAAATATGAGAAGCCTCATTACTCACAAGCTAAGGAGGGTCATTGGCTGCATGGGAGGCTTCCAGAAACCCCAAAGTGCTGCGAGTGACAGTATTGATGATTCAATAGTTTATGCTGTCCTCTGAGATAGTAAGACAATTATCCCACCATGCTGCTAGGGGGCGCTGTGCTACTAGAGAAACTGTGTTTGATGATGAGACTTGATCCATATTTATGGTTGTTCCTACTTGTGCCCATCAAAGGTCCCATGTGCCCTTTTTACAAGAATAGGAGAGTCATCTTTGGCATCATGACCAAATTCCTGTTGGGGCATTAGATTTTTGGCTACCTAAATTATCCTCACAGTTCCAACTGTACCCAGTATTTTCCCTTTCTATACAACACTGTTGTGTAATGGATCTGCAGGCTTTTAAATGGCCACTGGATTCCACCCCAGATGTGACTGCATCTAAGAAATGCAGCAATTTGCAACTATTTTATACCACTATTTCTAAAGCACATTGCTGTCCCTTGAGTTGGAAAGTGCTAGATATCTGTAACATAGTGATTAATCAAGCAATTATTATGACTGATGTATTTATTACGGGAAAAAAGAAAGCAAAAAAGGTTATAAAAACATCAAAAGCAGCGAGATGGAGACAACTTATTTGTTTGTTAAGGATAGTGAGGCAGATTAAACAAAAGTGTGCATCTAAAGTAAGTCTGCTAACTTCTGTAGAGTTAGAGTTGTTCCAGATTTTCTCTGTCAGACTGAGCATGGAATGAGGGCCAAAATGAAAAAGCAGAGGAGAGAACACTGATGGGTGCAATAAAGTCGTCCCCTAAAAATATGTTGGGACATGTTTTCTGGTGAAGTAAATTGGTATAGTTACATTGAGGTTGCAGCAGTTTACAGCACCGACAAAGAACTTGTCTCAAGAGATCAATCTCAGTTCACAGAGCACCCATCCAAACCATGTGAGCTTTCTCCACATAGCATTGCTCACGGTGCAGTGAGGACCTGGGTTTCTCCCTCTGAAAGTTGTGGATAGAAGGTCCTATGGGCTTATCACACTGAAGACCACCAATATTTTTTCCCTTCTATTCTCTACCTTACTTGGGGCATGGAATGGACAACCAACAATGTTAGCAACTGCTTATGAAAATGGCATGACTACCCATTGTGTCACACCTCTTTCTCTTGTGTCATGAAGCACATTCATGGCAAGATTCTTTGGGTAAATCTGATATCTTTTATTAGATCAACTAAATAGACTAAATAGTCTAATAAAATATGTAGTTGGTTTAAGAAAATATGTCAGATTTACTCAAAGAACCTTGTCTGCCTATGTCCTTAGACCAACATGGCTGCAACCTACATCCCTGTAACATCCATGGCAAGACACTCTCTAGTATGCAATGCTGTAGCATAGCAGCATCTCTTTGTCTATATGAGGTGGAATGTGGCAATAACTCTCCTCCTGTGTTATCTGTGGGAATGATGGGTAGTTGATTTTGTGTGATAAGCTGAGAGATTCAACGAAATTCAGCATTTCATCTACTGTGAATTTGGGTTTGTACCTTTACCCTTCACTGAAATACAGATGACAGCCTAAACCTATAGACACCATGCTAGAGTTGTGATGCATTATATTCTAGAACACAATCAACTCTGAACGTATGTACTGTCATAAACAGGAAATTGGCTCAGGTAATGTTGGGTTTCAATAATGGACATATGCCATGAGCATTTTTATAGATAAAAAACATGAGGAGCAGGCCAACATTTTCATGTGTAAGCACCTAGATCCATCCTGTGGCACCTAGATCTGATTTCCAGCATGTCTGGTTCCCATGGCAAACCAGCCCCTTATTTAGGTGCCTAAGTATGGATTTTGGTGCCTCATTTTAGGCATCTGCTTTTGGAAATGCTGGTTGTAAATCACAGGCCTAATGTCACCATCTAACAAGAAAGTGAAAATGGAGGATCCAGGGAACTACAGACCAGTCAGCCTCACCTCAGTCCTTGGAAAAATCATGGAGCAGATCCTCAAGGAATCCATTTCTAAGCACTTGGAGGAGAAGAAGGTGATTGGGAACAGTCAGCATGGTCATGCGCGACCAACCTGATTGCCTTCTATGATGAGATGACTGGCTCTGTGGATGCAGGGAGACCAGTGGATGTGGTATACCATGATTTTAGCAAGGCTTTTGATACAGTCACCCACAACATTCTCGCAGGCAAGCTAAGGAAGTATGGACTGGATGAACTATAAGGAAGATAGAAAACTGGCTGGAGTATCGGGGGCAGAGGGTAGTAATCAATGGCTTGATGTCTAGTTGGCAGCTGGTATCAAGTGGAGTGCCCCAGGGGTTGGTCATGGGGCCAGTTTTCAAGGTCTTAATCAACAATCTGGAAGATGGCATAGAGTGCACCCTCAGCAAGTCTTCAGATGACACCAAGCTGTAGGGAGTAGTGCATGTGCTGGAGGGTAGGGCTAGGATTCAGAGTAACCTAGACAAATTGGAGGATTGGGCCAAAACCAATCTCATGAGGTTCAATAAGGACAAGTGCAAAGTCCTGCACTTAAGACAGAAGAGTCCCATGGACTGGTACAGGCTGGGGGCTGACGGGCTGGGCAGCAGCTGTGCAGAAAAGGACTTGGGGGTTACAGTGGACTATAAGCTGAATATGAGCCAGCAGTGTGCCCTTGTTGACAAGAAGGCTAATGACATACTGGGCGGCACTGGTAGGAGTGTTGCCAGTAGGTCCAGGGAAGTGATTATTCTCTTCTATTCAGCAGTGGTGAGGCCACATCTGGAGTACTGTGTTTAGTTTTGGGCTCCCCACTACAGAAAGGACATGGACAAGTTGGGGAGAGTCCAGCGGAGGGCAATAAAAATGGTGAGGGGGCTGGGGGACATGCCTCATGAGGGCAGGCTGAGGAATACTGTGCTTTTTTAGTCCAGAGAAGAGAAGACTAAGAAGGAATTAACTAGCAGCCCTCAAGTACCTGAAGGGGGGGTTCAAAAGAGGATGGAGCTAGACTGTTCTCAGTGGTGGCAGATGACAGAATGAGGAGCAACAGTCTCAAGTTGCAGCAAAGGAAGTTTAGGTTATATATTAGGAAGAATTTTCTCATTTGGAGGTTAGTAAGACACTGGAACAGGTTACCCAGAGAGGTGGTGGAAGCTCCATCCTTGGAGGTTTTTAAGACCCAGCAAGACAAAGCGTTGGCTGGGATGATCTAGTTAGGGATATTCCTGCTTTGAGCTGGAAGTTGGACTAGATAAGCTCCTGAGGTCCCTTCCAACCCTTATTTTCTATGATTCTAAGACTAGCACATTGACAGGCTTTCTCTGAGAGTGAAACTTAAGGTGTCACAGAAGAGAGAAACTTTAAGGAAACCACTGAAATGCAGCTGTTCTCTTGCTGGTGTCTGAATTTGAAATCTGACAAACCATATGATTTAAAGCGTCCCTCTTCAATTTAACAGCCCAGGTTGGATCCCCTGCTGGTGTAATCTGGCATACCAGTGGAGCCTTACTGATTTACATCATTAGGGACCTGGCGCCCAGGTGTCCCATTGCTCCGAAAGCTATGCTGTTTGTCCCTTGTGTACACTGCAGATAGTTCATCGCCATCAGCAGAGTGAACAGGAGGCTGTAGTATCACTGCAGGACATGCAGGATGAGAATCGCATTCTCCAGGAGAGGCTGACAATGTTGCAGCGAACCACAGTCCACTTAGAAAAAGAGAACAAGGAGATGGAGCGATCGGCCTTCCAGCTGGAGAAAGATAACTCTGTTCTGAAGAAGACCCTAGACAAGGTATTGTACATGCAATGGACAGAAAATACATCCACACAAAGATACATAGATAAGATAACAGACCCAGAAGTACACATTCATTGTGCAGCCTTACAGGAGAGGAAGCCAGTCTATGGCCTGTGTGACATGAGGGTGAACACACACACATGCAAATGCCATGGATCACATCAGTATGACCCCTGGAAGCCAGTGGAGCACTGCCTCCAACTGAGTACTGGCCCATGCAGAGATAGGGGGGCCAAAAGCAAGAGGCAAAGAAAAAGAGTCAATGGAGAAATGGGGCATGTTGGCAAAAACTTTTCTCTTCCCCCTCTCACTGTTCTACCCCTCTCTCTCCTCCTGCCCTTTTGAACAGGAGCAGGTTCAGTTCTTCTTTCCTTCTCTCTGTCACCCCCTTCAGCGGTGCCCAGGAGCACTGGGGTAAAATCACTCACTGTCCACTCACTCCTGTCCATATCTACCAAATGCCAAAAGAAGTCACGTAGCTGCTATTACAGTGGTGCCAGCGAGCACACCCAAGACTGAGAGCCTTGGAACAGCACTAGGTGTGCCCTGGACATACATCACATAGTCACTACCTCACATGTTTCTGGCATGTGTCTTCCTAGCAAAGTCATGGTCAGTATAGACATGCCTATACCTAACTAGACACAGGAGCTTCCACCTCTGCTACTGCATATCGGCAGTAACAGAGTCAATGGAGCTAAGCTAGTCAGAGAGAGGGGGTTTATTCTCACAGTCACATAAAATTGAGAAGACTTTTCCCTACGAACGAAGAGCCTG